TTAATGGGCTATGAAATTATATGAAACATGATATTAGTAGTCTCCATGTCGTCCTTTGTTGAAACCTCGGCATTTGATGTTGATTGTACTGCAATTGTTTTTGTACTGTATGCCAAACGAGGTTTTTAAGATGGAATCTTTATTTACTGGCCTTACGTTTCGACCGCTTCGTCTTCTTCAGAGGCCTGGAGATAGTCTGAAGCTTTTGATTTGTAAGCTGCTTGATCAGTGTTTGATTTGACATATATGACACTGCGAGACTTGAGTAGAGCTCATTCGCTTCACTGACGTCAACTAACACAGGGCGTGAGCTACTGCTCCGCATCGGTGGAATCTTCGGTGAGTTACTTCTTCATCACTGAGTACTCGGAAGTGTTCTCGACGTTCTCTGACGTCGAGAATACTATAAGCGGTTGATCGAGTAGCTAACAAATCAAAAGCTTCAGACAATCTCCAGGCCTCTGAAGAAGACGAAGCGGTCGAAACGTAAGGCCAGTAAATAAAGATTCCATCTTAAAAACCTCGTTTGGCATACAGTACAAAAACAATTGCAGTATAATATACATAGTTATATATTAAAGACAGACTCTCCAGGACTTACCCTCACAACGAGGTTCGCGTCTCATTCCTACAGTGGATGGCATTTGCTATTCCGCCGGTTATACTTTACCTCACCGCTTCGTTCCTGATTCTCACGGTACGACTTCCGTCTAACATTTGACTCCAAGCTTGCAGCCAACTACAGGCAACATTAGATTTGATGGAAAAATAGATCAGTGAGTTAAGTGTTTCTTCATGGGACCTCATCAGCTTTTTCGGTGGTGGTCTCGTCAAGATATCGATGAGAAACGAGTAGCCAAGGCAGTAGAGAAGAACATCCACAACGCCTACGACGATCTTGGACCTTTTACGTAAGCACTGCACCTGATAGCGTTTATATTACTTTTCACTATTTTATATTTTATCTATCTCACAATCGTCCACGATCGACTTTCTTTAATCTTGGCTATTGAAGATTCAGTGTTATAGTTTATTGAGCATCTTCTCGGCTTTCTTCGCCTTCTTCAGAGCCTGAAAAAGTCGAGAACATTGAGATCGATCCCTTCGAAGCTTCTAACAATCCTGAAGACAACTCCAAGACTAGAAAACCCTCAGTCGGTATCGGTCAATGCGAAGAGTGCTACCAGCTCACCTTGATGTCTTCGCCAAGGAGTGAGAGAGACCACCACTAGAACGATAGAGAGATAAAGAGTACGTTGTAGTTAGATAAAGAGTACGCAAACAGGATACGCATGACTGCCTCAGGGTGACCACATTGAGAAAGTCGGACAGATACCGGTTAATCTGGTGAAACCTAATTATTTTATGGGCTAACACTATTTTTACAATATATTGCGTAAAAAATTATATCAGAAAAACAGTGCGCACCCTAATGCATTATTTAGTCAATCAACAGATTTCTAAGACATTTCAGGTTCGCGGAGAAGTCAGTACTTTGCTGGTTTGGCGTTCTTTTATGAGCTGTTGGATTATGCGGAAAAACCCGGTGCTTACATTACCTTGGCTGGGGAGATCTTTTCCCGGATGAAGGGTAATGTCTATTTTTATTGCCGTTCTTTCACCTCGTCTTAGTCAAGTAGCTAACCCAGAAATTACAGAAAGTATTTGACGGACTCTGTACCAGGGATTCTCATCGTCTTTCTGATGTCGGACGTGGCCGAGGATCCTGCTGACGCAAATCGTGGTGAACACGACACATTCTTGAACTTGTTTTGGTTTGTAGTGGCTGTTTGGCTGCACTTCGCTTTGCGAAAGTTTCACAAGAGTTTCACAACTTGTAGCGCACTTGCCCAGATAGTAGGAGATGTGGCTCATGTCCCGCCTAAAGCGAAATTTGGATTTATAACCCAGCGTTCTATGAGTCTGCCTTTTTTTTATTCTTTCGAGGCCAGAGGCCCACTACAGAGGAGAGCTGGGCTCCCAGAAGCGAGAGTGGCTGATCGCGGTGTCGCGTGGCAGGACGCTGTGCTCTTCGCATACTAAAGAGGCATCGGGTTCACCCTGCTTAGGAGCAGGCAACAAGTTGGTGTCGGCGTGAGTGTTGCTACGGGGACTTGCGGTTACAGATGGAAGGATGGGAGGTAGGTGGGTACGGTAAGAGTAGAGGTTATCGCCTGCTACTGGTCCAGGGTATCTCGAACATGTCGAAATGGACAAAGAAACATTATATCAAGATTTCTTTCAGGAGGACTTTCCAAAACAAGGTATCCTTCTAGGGTACCATTGCGCCATCCATTACACTGTGCTATTTACTTCATATTGTCATAGTAGTAATCTGAGCAGTGGAATGTGTAGCCTGTCTCTTTTTGTGCAGCTCGAGGAAGTTCTTTTAATTGTGCAAAAGGCAGGAAGTAAAGCCACACTTGCACCAAAATTTTGAACATCGGAGACATCCCTCTCCGGTTTATTTCAACCTGTATGGCTGTGCAGGCCGTGCTCCCACGAAGGATGCTTCGAATGACTAGTTCGCTGACTTTGCCTTCAATCAGAACTAAATTAGGTTTTCCAGATTATTCTCCAATTCTGACGTGGTCCACGATGCAACGCAGATTCACATGGTCCTGTATGTTGCTGATTGGTGCCGGATATGCTATCTCCGAGGGCGCGTAGAGGCAAGAAACCTGCTTCTAAACCAATGTGGCACAGTTGAAATGTAGTGTACAAGCATAACACGTGGGTATCGGGAGAGCGGCTGCGAACGGTCCGCTAGGCCGATGTCAGACTTTGCGAATCGCAGGATTCGCTAAGCGTCCACGATCGACGTTTGCCGGTACCAGCAATTGATGTCATTCCTGGCCGCGACCGACCGTATTCATTGTCTGACATCGGCCTTACGCGGTATTACCTAACGCGCGCTCAACATTCTCTAAGGCCCTTTCATAGCGTTGCTGAAGAGCTAATTGGAGCTTTTGGGCCAACACCTCGAAAACTGTCTTTTGCAAACGGATATTCCTCTCGAATGGAGACTCATATTCTTTGACAAAGTTCGAAGCGCTCCCTCGAAAACTACCACCGATTCGCCGAATATGACCTCTACCTGAAACGTCCTATGTTTGCCCTAAGACTTCTTATAATATTCCTCTTTAAGAAATCTGGACTTTCAACTTTGATCGCTTGCGCCATGAAGGATACCTTTGGAAAATTCAATTCTATCAACTTACAGCGTGAGTGCTTCTTTTCTTAAGTAACTCTTGACGACGTGCAGAGCAACGGCCGCCCGGAACGGCTGTTACCGTAATCCGCCGCCGCAACAAATCGTGGCATTCGGCATGCCTCTTTTGTCGTTTTTCTGCGCACTCCACGGCGACAGTGCGGATGATACGGAGCCCGTCCATTGTACGGAGTACCTGAGCTGTAGAAATGGCGCGAATGCTGGCAGAGTGTTCGACAGTGGCCAAGCCGCACTTCGCCGGTATGTTGCGAGCTTAACCTCTTGTTGTTAACGCGCGAAGCCTGCGCGCAGCGTTTTGCCTCGCGAGAAGCGAGTGCTGCGTGTATTTTTGAGCAGCACTCGCCTCGCCGCTGGAGCGGTGAGGCATGTGCTGCGTGTATTTTTGGATAGTCACCCGCGGTAAGGGTGGCTTTGGTGACAAGACGGTTATCGCAGTCCGTGGAGTGAGCGTTCAATCTACCTAATTCATTGAAAGGGCGCGGCCACGGGTTACGGTAACAGCCGTTCCGCGGCCTTTATTATCTGTCTTGTGCCTCTACGGGGTGTTTTTTTTTTCATATAGCCAGAAGTGTGTGTCACAGGTTTCTATTTTAGTTCTGAAATAACCGAGTCGAATCACCGCATAGACAGAATTCGCCAGGCAATGTAGCACAGCGCATCCTCATCCCAATCGTTCTAAGCATCGTAAGTGCTTGAGATGGATTTGGTCAAATGCTCACTTTTTCAATTATAGTTAAGGGAGGAGTTCAGGAAACTAGACCTAAAAAACAAAGAAATAAAAAGATTGGCTGAGTCGGGAGGTTGAAGTTACTTTAGAAAACCATGTCATCCTTCCGGAATCGATAGTGCTCTTTTGAATGCTATTTCGTTCCTTTCTTCAACGATTTTCTCCAATCAAACGAGGGCGCAACAGCAAAGTGAGACTAACTGGAAGTTTGCGGGTACGTCTTTGAGCGGTATTCTATGCTATCCTCCCCGAAGGGGTTGGGGGACGAAAAGTCCTTTAAATTTTCTCTGTCTTCCCATCTGGGATTGCCCTGATAAAGGACCTACATTTAATGTATGTATGTAGGTAAAAGTAAACATGCACTGAAAATGAAGAAACTATATCGTTCAAAACAAATAAATTTAAAGGAAACTTTGGATCACTTAGCTTCGGGGAAGCATAGCATACGGACCAATTAGAGCCGCAAAAGAATGCAATCTGCGTCACGTCGGAGCTCATAAGTAATAAACCAACTGTAAATAAGCTTCAAGGGAAAGGAGATGTCATGAGAGATTTGTTAATAACAGAAACGGTACACGATCTGGATTACGACTGAATGACTTTTCCATTTAATTAGTACCTCATAAATCTCATTTCCGAAAAGTACCACATTGAATCAAGCATAGCTATGAAAATTACCAGTTTTGCGTCGCTACGTCGATCTGCTATGCCCTCTCCTCGGAATCTCTGCCACGCTCTCCGCGCTCACATTATCTCTCATCTCCTGCCTGCCTTCTGAACTTCTCACAGCATAGAGCAAATGCTCGTTGATTTCCTGTGTATTTCAGGATTTTCTTTCCTTTTTCTCCATTGGCGGTCCATCTATCCCTACTTTCACATTTGAGTGGAATCAACCCATCAGTTTGATCCTAATTCTTGCCTTATAATGATGCACTCATAAAGACACAAGATATGTGTGGATAGAACGCATAAGAGGTGGATTTCAGAAATTCTTAGCATAACGGAAAAAATTTCCATCAGGCTCGCCCTGCAACATCGGACGCACGTCCCATACAATAAAAGCCGATGGGTCAAATTCGTAGAGCGAGAAGCCACAAACATTCCGTAAAAAATATCGTCATCACGCCTTGTACATATTACGTCTAGAAATCGCGCTAGGATGGGACAGCTGAGGTATGCTAGAAATGACAACCGAAGATAGACGCTCTCGCCCTTCATTTGGGCAAGACAGATCCGTTTTTTTGCTCTTCTTTAGTCCAGTGACTTCGTCTTCCCAGATCTTATACGGATTAAACATGACATCCATTTCGGTCCGATAGTCACACATGAATCTGGAACGGTGTGAATCGCTGGTAACCATGGTTGGCGCGGATACTACGTGAATAGTAATTCGAAAATGGAGGCCAGAATTTGAATCGCTCGATCCAAGTCTACCGTGCGGTGAGGTGGATAAACGAATAGACGTTTGTTGCCGATTACAACTGTTGGGAATCTCTCTCCACAAAGGAGCCGCGAAGCAGATATGAGACGTGAAAAAGCTAGTTGAGAAGGGGCGGGGGGGGAAGGAAAGCGGTGTTGCAGCTATGTTCTGCTACACTAGGTCTTTTTCAGCCCTTGATCATAGTTTATCACATTTTCAGGCTGAGTCTTTGCATATTCATCCGTTATACCTTAGCGATGCCGGCCACAGTTGCCTGCTCATTCGCCTTCATGTTGCCGATGGCCACTCCTCCGAACGCTATAGTGTTTGACACGAAGATTGTCGGAATGCTGGAAATGGTGAGCTTCTTTGATCCTACGTACTGTAGTATGCAAATATTATATATTGCCGTCTCACGGAATAAATGGCTTTGGACGCTGAGCAGAGGTTTGAAATGTAGGCTGATGTGCGGCGCCATTTCGCGCTCCGTACTCCTTTCTGAATGAAACTGTTAGAAACGATTCAGATAAAAGATAAAGGATAAAGGATAAAGCATTTGCCGTTGATCAATCCCTTTTTGGGATGCGGCACGCATTCTACTTCCATTTGTACATTCGCAGTGGCATTTGAATGCGATGTGGCCTATACAATGACTTGCGGGGGCCAGCCGATGTTCAAGTCAGTGTTTTTATCCTCCCAGACAAGTCTGGTACCAATTAACCGACCCCGGAGGGATGGAAGGCTTGGTTGGCCCGGGCGACTCACGACCCAGGATTTGATCCCGGACCGGGAGCGTGCCACTTGCCAAGACGCCACTTCCGCCCACCGTTCAAATAAAGGACAAGAAATTGAAATGCACTCAGCGTTATTCAATATGTTTTGAAACGGATCAGTTAATTTTGGGTCAATGCAAGCACTGTAGTTACTCGTTAGCGTTTGATGAAGTTGTGCGGAAAGGGGTTTGAACAAGAAGCCGGTGCCAGCCATTAATAACTAAATAGTTAAAAAGAAATGTTATTCTGAAAAAAAAAAAAAAAAAAAAAAAAAAAAAAAAAAAAAAAAAAAAAAAAAAAAAAAAAAAAAAAAAAAAAAAAAAAAAAAAATAAAAAATACTTTCCGAGAAACTTAATGGAGGACCATTCGTATAACTTCGATCAGAGTTCGTCGACTGAGTTGTGAGTGTATTACCAAAATTCAAGTTTCTGAGCCGTCCCTGATTTGGGAGCATCAGACGGCTCAATATGATTGGCAAGTGGAAGAGAATTTTCTACAAAATTCAGCCACTAAGCCAAAAAAACGTTGAAGGAAGATTTCTAGCGGTGAAGTTTTAGTAGTGAAGCCTAGAAGGGTAATTACTAATATTGAAACGGTAGGCAGCCCTAGAGTGGCGCGACGATTGCGCGTTGCGGCAGTTGGAGAGTCATGTTCCGTGACCCTAGTCCGCGCCGCTATCGCCGCGGCACGCCCACCCTCTCGCCGGCCTTCTCTAGCCGTTCAGCAGATAGAGCGTAAGCGTTGATTAGGACAACACTGATGAAAGCCGCGTCTATGCGGGAAACGGGCACAAGACAGGTCTTATTTCTCGGGAACTGGGCCGCTTCTCAAGTTTCTTAGCCTGACACAACTACACTCTATGATTGCCTAATGTGCCTGCCTTCTCAATGTGAACTCCGCCTTTTAGGTAACCACTGGAGTATTGCTCAACATTTGTTGTGTCCTGATCACAACTCTCAACATGAACACCTGGACATATTGGCTATTTGATTTGGGCACTGTGCCATTCTTAGATCGACATCTCAACGCCACACTCCGCTGCTAGCAGCGTTTTGATCGAACAACCCTAGATCATCAGCCACTGAAGAAATAATATTTTCTCAGGATAAGTTTTTAACTTCTAGTAAGAGCATGTTGGACAAAAGCTCCTAGTAACTTTCTTCTTTTACAAATAGACCGTTTGCATTCATTGTGAACGGCGAGCACAAAGTTTTGCGTATTGGAAATTGAGTTTCTGAAAGAAAAACGCAGCGGTGACTTGCCCTGATTTGAACAGATCTGTGAAGAAAGGCGTGGCTAAAATTATAGATAACGCAGTAATTTTATGGTTTCCGTTTTGAAGCTAACTTTGCTTATCTGCAAATGCAGCTCTAGTTATCGGCTGAAATCGAAGTTCTTCCTGAATTCTTTGACAATTTCCGTGGATGGCGCTTTCAACTGAATTCATTTTTTTAACAGGGTAGGCCAACATCCTCGGCGTACAACTAGGTCTGTGGTAAGGGGTTTCAGAATCAGCAGGGGAATCCTGGAATAGAATGGCGAGGAGGAATTATCAGTGCTCATAAATTTTTTCGGGAAATGCTTGAAGAATGGTTAGAAATTTCACGAACGTTTGAGAAATGTTTCCAAATTTTGCGTTGGAATTTCAGCTAGTTAACTTTGTATTTTCTTGTTGCACTCTACCTTCTCCAGATTTTGGCTGATGATGACCACTACTTAAGATTAGCGTTACTCGGTCGAGATGGGAGGTTAAAACGTGTTACAAGGGGTCGTTAGGATCCCAGCGGACAGAAGGCGGCCCTGGGTGTGTGGGGGTGGAGGCCAATTTTTTTCCGAATTTCCTCAACACGAAAAATAAATCCAATGTCTTGCCTTTTGTTGGGAATGCGGTCGCTTAGGAACATCCGTTTATTTTTTTAAATGATTACCCTTTTCCGGAAAATGATCAAACATCCATTCTGTACACATTGTATTCTCATTATTTGAACTTTTGACACGTCGCTTATGGTGACAGGTTTCATATTCTACGAATAAATGTTTCACAAAGTTGTGTGATTACATTGGGTGTTCTATCGAAGAATATGCAGCTGGCAAAAGGTGCCGTATCCATATACAATGAATGGAACCTGTTACCTGCCCAGCGTTGGACCGACTTCTACATACACTGCGTCCCATAATTATACGTCCACCTAAGAATTTCCCAAAATCTCAGAAATACAGATGTTTACGAAAAAAGTCTCCTATGTGACAATGTATCGCATATAAATACGCAATTGCCTATGAACATCAATTTTCTATTTGAGATCACAGGAATTTTTCCCAATAATTTTTGTGTAAAAGGCCACTCAGCCGACGTCCCAAAATTATACGTCCACCTCACGTTTATCGATTACTTTTCACTTCTGTTCCACGAAACTTTTTCATTGGTAACACACTTCACTTCTTAAGGGAACAGCATAATAAAGACTGCTGTTGGATTTTGAGAAAGGGAAAAATGTCGCAAAAACTGTTGAACAACGCAATCGCACCAGATTTGGTCCAGATTCACGCCAAGCTTGAGAATTTTTTCAGGGGTTTCACATGATATGGAGTTTAGAAGAGCTCTAAAAGTCTCTCATTACTTTTCGATGGAAACAAAGGCCGTGTTACAGAAATAACATCCATTTTCATCCAACGGTGCTCTGTCATCGAATCTTCTTGAGAACTTTATGCCTCAACAGACTTTTGTTTCATGCATGTAAAGGAATCCCAAGATCATTCTTGATCGGAAAATGTGAAAGACGTTCATTTGTGGCAAGGAATCGTGACGAAAACTGGGCTGATTTTTGCATGAAGGTGCAGCCGAGCCGACTGGAGCAGGGTCCTTTTTCCTTGCTATGCATGAGTGTTTGTCTGTCTTTCTTTTCAACATTTTCTTTCTTTTAGTAGTGCTCCTCTGAGAAAAAAGCTATTAAGGGAAAGGTAGACGTGAGAAGAGAAACAAACAAATGCCAAAAAAGCAGAAAGGGCAGAAGGGCAGAAGCGAACCTTACTTCAGTCGGCTGGGCTGCACCTTCATGCAAAAATCAGCCCAGTTTTCGCCACGATTCCTTGCCACAAATGAACGTCTTTCACATTTTCCGATCAAGAACGATCTTGGGATTCCTTTACATGCATGAAACAAAAGTCTGTTGAGGCATAAAGTTCTCAAGAAGATTCGATGACAGAGCACCGTTGGATGAAAATGGATGTTATTTCTGTAACACGGCCTTTGTTTCCATCGAAAAGTATGAGAGACTTTTAGAGCTCTTCTAAGCTCCATATCATGTGAAACCCCTGAAAATTCTCAAGCTTGGCGTGAATCTGGACCAAATCTGGTGCGATTGCGTTGTTCAACAGTTTTTGCGACATTTTTCCCTTTCTCAAAATCCAACAGCAGTCTTTATTTTGCTGTTCCCTTAAGAAGTGATGTGTTACCACAATGAAAAAGTTTCGTGGAACAGAAGTGAAAAGTAATCGATAAACGTGAGGTGGACGTATAATTTTGGGACGTCGGCTGAGTGGCCTTTTACACAAAAATTATTGGGAAAAATTCCTGTGATCTCAAATAGAAAATTGATGTTCATAGGCAATTGCGTATTTATATGCGATACATTGTCACATAGGAGACTTTTTTCGTAACATCTGTATTTCTGAGATTTTGGGAAATTCTTAGGTGGACGTATAATTATGGGACGCAGTGTATATGCGATGTTAAAAAAGGCGACTTTCAGTCTGTTCTGTTCCCATTGGAAAGGAAGTGAAAC